GCTGTAACTATAGGGAATTTTTTGGAAACAGGAATTTTATAAGAATGATTACAAAAAAGAGGATAGTTAAATAGTGCATTATTTGCACTGTCTACATACTGATATGTGGTTGCCAGTTTGTCACTACTTTAGTCTAGCCTGAGGGGACAGGCAGTCTAACGTTGCACTACACTTCTTTAGCTAAAATTCATGGTTCCACTTACTTCGGATCGTAATGAAGGCGACTGTGAATAACAGAATTTCTTGAATGTTCATGGTTCTTGGCTGGGCTGGTCTTCTGGCTACATGTAAACTGTCTGTCAGATGGCTACAGGGCATAGCCTCCCTTGTCAGCTGCTCTCAAAATTGTTATAAATAATAATCCATTATGCCTATCCTCCCCAAGGTATTTTTTGTATCACAACTGATTCAACATGCTATACTGTCTTTGTTGTAGTTCTGGAGTACCGTGTCTGGTGGATGGGTAAGGTTGCATGTGTCCAGAATGCTTGCCACCAGTATTTTAATATGGCCAGGGCGAGGCAAGAGGGACCCTCATTATCTTACTCCTGGTCCGTCACTTGCTGTGTTTGCAGTAAGACAAAGGGGAATGGCATCCCGCCTTTTGCCATTACCTTGCTTATCTGCCTGGAATTCATCCCTTATACTACTCTTGCAGCCTGCTAATAGAACACTGGCCTGTACAGCTACCCTGCCCTTGATTATTGCACTTGTACTATAAGAGTGATGTGCACCACCATTGCAGTTGGATTGGGAGGCATCCAAGACTGACTGCATGCTTACTGGTGGTGTACTACCCTCCATTATGCTGCCACCACCTATTCAGGCTGCCTCACTAGAAACTATCCATAAAATGATACTCTTTTCAAGATAAGCATATCATTGTTCATGGGTTTATATTTCCAGTCCAGTGTTGCTGTTTGTGAACACGGAGAGAGATAATTTCATTGAACATCAGTACTTGGGAATCTTAGGACAAGGGTGGGATAAATACACCATGGCACAAATTTAGCTATTGATCAGTAACTACTGAAATACTCACTGAACCAGTTATCATTGTTCAGTTGTCTCTTGGTTGAGCTGTTATCTCGGTGAAAACTCTCTATTATCCTGTCAAAAACTCCCTTATTTTAATGATCATAACACAACCCAATTCCACTTGCTGCAAAATGCAAGAATTCAGGGCTAGACTGGCTGAGATCTCCTGATACCCTTCATGGCTGCCAAGCACGTCTTTAGTACAGTTCTGCCCTCAACTTTGTGAAAGAGTGATACTTTAACAGACTGCTTCTTCAGTCAACATTTATTTTACTGCTGGGTGAATTGCTCCAAAAGCATTTTGTATTCCAGAGTGCTTGCACCACAATACTGGTAGTTTTTTAGTAGTGGAAAACTAACTCTAAGTGTACATCTTTTAGTTTCATGAAAGCGTTGATGAGATAACCAGAGGAATTTTTATAAGTAAATCTTTGACAGTCTTTGAAGCCTGTAGAAGCATTTTAGATGTCTGTGTCCGGAGATTGTTGCTCGTATCGATTTGGCCCAGCTGAGTAAGCTTTTTTACCTGAAGATGGATGCAGAGTCCAGTGTCAGATATTTTAACAAGGTGATGGATAATATCCAAGAAGTCAATAATTATATTACTATGCTATCGTCACAAACTTTTAAATCTTATTTGTATATGCAGCACCTAAATTTATGGAAATGTTTTTTCTCCACATGTTGTGATGGGATTTTTATTTAGAAGTTTTCCTTTGTATGGATTTAGACAAGGTGCATTTCTCACTTTGAAAACATAAATTTCCTAGTTGTTCATTTCTTCTTGGCTGAGACACTGCAAATGCAATCGTGCAGCTGTCCAAGGATTGATCATTTTCTCAAACTTCGCAGTAAGTCAGTGACTGGCATGTAGGTTTGGTCTACCTTAGGTGTAAACTGAGACCAGGGCGCCCTTGCACTCATTTCCAACAGATTTTGAGCAAAAGTCTCACCAAAACTGTAGGTGATCTGTTTTGCTCCCATGATAATGTGATGTACTCGCAGTTATATTTCTATTGTTTATATCAGTGTTTTGGTGGCTCAGACTATAGAACATCAGTTGATATGATGATTAGTGAATAATGAATTAGAAAGGATCTGGAAGGAAGTTGTCTTGGCCTAAATTGTAGTATCCATGCATTTGCTATGCAGGAATTGAGCAAAACTACTTGGTCACGAGACCAAGGTTTGAACTTCGTGCCTCACAGATGTGAAGGAGTGCTGTCCACTCATCTGTGACATTCAATGATGTAGCTGTTGAGTTTAATGAGTCAGAAGGTGAAGAATTGTTTTTTGTCCACTTCATGTTCTCCAAGAAATTGAATGGCTAATAGCTGCTGTTTGCTCTTTGTTAACATAGTCCATGTGCTGACTGCAATCTTCAGTGTCAACTGGTTTTTTTTTAACATTTCCATGTTTATCAGAGATGTTATGATTAAATTTACCAATTCATGTGTTTCAGTTTTTGGTTTATGGATGAATTTCCACAGCACAGACCATGTGCATGCTTTTGAGAACTGTTGTTCTGGAGTAGGACTTTAATTATCAAGTGAAGAAGTTGATGTTGAGAAACCTTTTCCTTGTAACCCAGTTTCATCAGCGATATGTATCTGATATTGTGTCAAGTTTTGTTTTTGAATTTCTGGAATCTAGTGTGAAACACACAGCAGGAGCACAATTGGCACTCAGAAGTTATCGTTCTCTTTGGTGGCTTCACAAATTCATTCTTTAAATTCTTTTGCCACTCATTTGAGACTTCATATTCTTGTAATCCCAAGGCTTCAAAGATATTTTACATCTCTGTAGGTCAGCATGAAATATAGTGAGGTATCCCTTACTTTGTTGTTGCAGCTTATGTCAAAAATGTTTTTGTACCCCTTACTAATATTGACTTCACATATCACATGTCACATATCATGTACAATATTGATAGGTGGAGTAATGGGAAAGAGTTTCGTGACATTGTGTGCTACACTGTGCCTTTGGAGTAATGTAGAAGTTATAAATTTTAACAAAATCTTGTTATTATTGTGCACCATCATCTACATATATAGATACCCATCCATGTTATGGATATTCAGATTATGAAATTTCAGCCTTACAGAAATATGAGTTAATAAACATTAGCTTTTTAATGCACTGAGCAAAACAGTAAGAAATTAGCCCAGACTGTTTTGTGTAAAAGATGGGTGTTTTTTTTTTTTTAAAAGAAATCCAGGTCCCATGTTCGCTTGCATCAGTGATATAGATACGAGGGGGTACCCAAAAGAAACCGAACTTTTTTTTTAAACTTATTTATTCAAATATTAAGCACAAACCTTCAATCCCCTTCAAAGTACTCTCCCCTTACACTAATACACTTGTCTAGTCTTTTATTCCATTTTTCAAAACATTGTCTAAATTCATCTTTTGAGATGCTTGACAGCGCTTCTGTCGTTTTTTCCTTCACCTCAGCAACATCAGCAAAACGCTTTCCTTTCATGTCTCTTTTCATTTGAGGAAACAAAAAAAGTTTTGATCATTTTGGGACTCTTCTTTCAAAGCACAGCATGCTTCCATGCGACCTTGTTTTTGTTCAGCAGTCATGGCACGAATTTCGCAGCCACCCTTTTCATTCCCAAATCTTCTGTCAAATTCCCTGAACTGAGCTCCAAGTCACTCCCGACAGCTCCACAATTTCTTCAATGGTCCGTCGTCGATCTTCCTTGATGATTTCACTAATTTTTTCAACATTTTCGTGCGTTCAGGCTGTGGAAGGACGACCAGAACGAGGTTTGTCATCAATTGACATTTCACATTTTTTGAAACAAGAAAACCACTCAAACACTTGAGTTTTCCCCATAGCATCATCCTTGTACGCCGTTTTTAACATTTCAAGAGTTTCTGTTCCACTTTTCCTGAGCAAAATGCAGAATTTCACCACCGCACGCTGTTCACGAAAATCAGCCATTGCAAAAACGACGATCACACAAAACAGTTGTCACTATAAACTCTGCCGAAACTAGTCCTTACCTTCTGAAGCAACGGTAGTCAGCTTATCGACTCAGGAATGTTAGCTCTATGCGCTCATAGCGGCAAAACACGGTACTACAAAAGATCTGCCCACAAAAAAATTAGTTCGGTTTCTTTTGGGTACCCCATCATATGTAGCTGCCCCTCTATGCATGATTTGGTGATTTATATGGTTGCCTAGGAACAGGATTGCAATTGCCATATAATTTTAGTTTTACATTGTATGGAAGATGTGTGCTAAGAGAACATCAAGTTCTAGAGCAAGTTGTAACCTAAAAGAACTTGGAAAGTATACCTGCTGTTATTTCAAGTAGAGACAAGTAAAGTGTATTTTATTAGAACTATGAACAAAAGAAAAAGATTTGTATAAGGATACATCTTCACTTGTGATATGGAAGTAGAAGAACAGGGTTTACAGTATAGAATCTCTCAATCAAATACATTTTTAAGATTTCAGCCATTCTGTAAGGCAGGACATGCTGTATACTTAAAATCTTATAGCAGAGTGGGTGTTCTGAAGACTCTGAATACGAAGACCAACACAAAATTGCATAAACATAGCATAACAGTTATTAATGGTTAATTAACACTGAATGACAGAAAATATAAAAGACACAACTGGAAATGCAAGCAATTCACATTTAAAATATTATTTACTTGTGGTTGTGTAATCTTGCTTTGAAGGAAGCAATACACCGCTAATGTTGCAGATTTTTGAGTTTAGCAAGGAATTAGATACATAAATAACTTGGAAAGATTTGTTACAAATTCCTCACATAGTTTCCAGTCCCCATTTTTATTTGAACTTTATTATTTTTATTGTCATAACATTTTGTGAAAATACCCATATTTTAAGTTGTGTTACATCATTAGTTACCTGTTATTATTCCTTTACATATACTGTCTCCCTTCCCTGCATTATTTTGTTTCTGTTTTGTTGGTTTATCTAGAACCCTGATGTCATTCCATCAACTGTTGATGGCAAGCTAAAGTCTCAAGCAGAAGTTGAACTGAACACTGCCAACACTCATCTCGCAAATCTTCTTCGACAGCAGCTAGTGGTAAGTTGTTGATATTACAAGAGGATTTGAATTGTCATGTGATTTTTGCTCATCTTTTATTCATCAAGACATAAACCACATACCTATTTTAGAACTATAAATTGTAATCTCAATGAAGTAAAGCATCCTTATGACTAGAGGTAAATCCCAAAACCCACAAGAGAAATACAGGGAGAAATGAAAATGTAATAATATGTTTTAATTATTTAATAATGATTTATTCATGGGTATCCTTTACTTACAAGATTAGGATTAAGAAATTAAAAGTAAAAGTGGAGTGAGAAGTATTTGCATGATGTGGATATTTTTTAACTGAATTTTGATTCACGTTTTCAGATACATATATTTGTGTTCAGATATATGTCAATTGTTTACAGTACACATTTTCAGTCTTTTCAGTTGCAAAATGAATTACAGTTTATATTGTTAATTTTTTTAGTGTTAGGTTGCCTTGATGATACTGCTTACATGTTATTCTGTAATTGTGCAATACAGACTTCAGATTCAAGGTTTAGGGATTAGCCATCACACAACTACATTAAAACTTCAGTCTTATTTTTTATTTGGTTCATCCTGGTCTGTCACACTAGCAGTATTATAAAAGGTTAATGAACTCTGTCCAGTTTTACTGATAAAATGTTTTTTTCTTTCTTTCCTTTTTAATCTTTCATCCTTGGCATGTTTCTGTCTTAGAGACCATCTTCAGAAGGATATATCAATATGGGCAGAAACTGCTATTACAGTGTGATTGGTCAATATCAGTACATACATACAATATCATCACAATGCCGTGAATATAAAATCTGACCCTTTAACAACTACAGCGATGTGCATGAATCCATTAAAATATTTATAAATTATTAAAAGTAATCTGTTTACAAATGTGGTTTAAAAAAGATTTTGTTAAAATTTTAAGAACCAGTTTGGTTTATCTCATTTTTATTTCGCACTGCATTTTTTGACCACAAAACAATCATCAGGTGCCAGATTACAAACATATTGTCACGTGTTAGTGACTAGACACAGTTTTGGATTAATTATTAAATTCGATGAGTGCTTATTATGCATAACTACAAGCAGTTACAGCACTTCCACTGTTCTGTACACCATACACAGAGTCTTCCCATTCTATTGCATCTTCACATACTCATTGCTTTGTAGCAGCTTGTAACAGTGGTGATTCCTTTTGCTGCTTCCATGTTCAGTGGCTTCTATCATCTGTGGCTGACACCCTGTTGCAGTCTGGTTTTGATTTCGGGTAAATGGTTGCTGGCCTTTTCCAGCGCAGTCATTCATGGTTCCAGGTCATGTGGGACATATTTTTTCTGTCTCATGAATCTGGGAGTCATGCAACTGTCCATGTTGTCCTGCTGGTCAGATGGTCAGTGTATCAGGCAAATTGCTGCTGGCCCTTGCCAGCACAGGCAGTCTTGATTTTGGGTCCTGTTGGGACCCAAGTCTTTTATACATTTTGAAATGGGGCCTTCACTTTGACAAGAGGAAGGGTCTGGCTACCACTGGTCATTCCCATTCCAGTGGGGGTAACTTGAGGGGGCAGTCACTAACTGTCCCCCTCCTCCTCCACACACACAAGCTGCTGCTGTTCCAGTTTTTAGAAAATGTAGTAGCATCAGTGATTACTAACTGTAGACCTATCGCTTTACTTAGTAATTTTTTCATAGTTTTGTAATTTGTTGTCCATGGTCATTTATCTTATTATCTTCAGATATAAGCTTATTCTGTCTCAGCGTGGTTTCCATAAACTTATTTCCGCCTGACCAGCTTGGTTACTTATGTTGACACCCTTTTAAAATAAGCTAGTACTCTAGATCAGATTGATTCAATCTCTTTTGATTTAAGTAATGGTTTCCTCATAATTCCTCTTCCTCTGCTTCTTTGTAAATTGACCAGTTTTGGACTTGCTCCTCGTTATGTTAATTGGTTTCATAACTACTTGACCAATATATATGCTTCTGTTCATATCTTTGGTACCCTTTCTACTACACTGTGAAGTCTGGATTTTTACAAGGATCCATTTTGAGACCATTTGAGGTTTTCATTAGTGATATTTTTGCATCCATTCATAATTCCAAGTACCTCATGTCTGCAGTTGGTCTTAAGATTTGTGATGCTTTTATCATGAATGCTGTAAACTTTAGATATCTGATACAGACTCTGTTCAGAATTGGTGTTTGGATAATGATATGAAACTAAATACTAGTAAAACAACATTTATTTATTTCTTTGTTTATTTTCTTATCTTCTTTATTTTTTTATTTCTGTAGTAATGTATTTTTTCAGTGCTTGTGTATAATTGGATTTTACCTGCTGTCACTCATTTTAACAAATTAATTGAATTATTATTATTGATTCACTACACACACCACTCAAAATCAAGTATAAATTTATGATTAAATTTAGTGTTGGTTGATTCTAAAGGGTTTTGACGGAGGAGTATAACATTCATAATTACTAGGTTTTTGGACTTCGTTCATCGTCTATCATCATCATCATCAGTAATCTGTCAAGACGACAGGTCCACAGTCTCTTTCAAAACAATTCCTCCACTTAATGCGATCTAGAGCTTTCTCCTTCAAATGACAGTATCCTCTTCTGTCCCCAAGGTCATCCAGCATCTTCTTACGTCTTCTTCCTCGTCTTCTTGTCACTTCTATCCGCCCATCTATCTTTCCTTCGATAGCTTCTTTTAGAAGGCAGTTTCTGCGTAAAACATGACCAATCCAATTAGCCTTCCGTTTTCTTATTTCATGTAGGATATTCCTCTGCTCACTGACTCTAATTAACACTTCTTCATTTCTCACATAATCGGTCCAACTGATCTTCTCCATTCTTCTCCAACACCACATTTCGAAACTTTCCAGATGTTTCTGATCTACTGCCCTAAGTGTCCATGTTTCAGCCCCATACAGAGCTATGCTCCAAATGTAGCATTTCACTAGTTTCTTCCTCAAATTTAAGTCCAATTTGCTGGTAAAAAGATTCTTCTTCTTGCTAAATGCAGCTTTTGCCATGGCAATCCTGGATTTAATTTCACAAGTACACCTTCCATCATCTGTTAACAAGCTACCCAAATATTTAAAACATTTCACATTCTCCACTTGTTTTTGGTCTATCTTTATTGTGACTGGGGTTGGTTGTCTCGAAATTTTCATTACTTTTGTTTTCTCCACATTCATTTCCATGCTCATCGTCTAATGTTCTAAAAAAAAATGCTAGAGAACACAGTATTTTGGGAACTGGGTCTCTTTCCATCCTCAGGTGAGGAGGGAGACTCATACTCTTTTGGGTCCTCTAGAAAGAGTTAACCTATGGGGTAGTCTGGGATGAAGCTAGGATTATGGATATTAAAAGTAACAGTATGTATAGGAAATTCAAGTAATCAGCCCATATGGCCTGCTTAACCAATCAGATCAGCCAGCCCAGTCTGGATCCCCTTTGTAAGCACTGAGGTGATTAGCTCACGGAGAAGATCGGTATGATGTGACAGATTCCTCGTGGGTTCCTGTATGGTTTCAGTCTCGAGTGTTCAGTTTTTACTCCACAGATGGTGCTAGCAGTAGGCACAGGGTAGTTTCATGGCATTCTCCACTTAATCCTAAGCATCAATTTTATGGGCTTGATTTATTGGCTAGGTTTTTTTGCACAAAATTTTCACCTCCCTTTGTATCTCAATTTCAGGTTTGTGCATGCATTATCACAATTTTTATTGTACTTTTTTCCTGTTATCTCCATTTGACAAAGCCTGGTCTCAGGTATTTATATAGCTGTAGCTGTACTGACAATATGTCGTTAAATGATTCAGGTTAGCTCTTTCTAAGGGACCCAACAGAGTAGGTGTGCCCCCCTCACTTGAGGACAGAAACAGATCCCGTTTTGAAATAAATGCTGTGTTCTCAAGTGTTTTTTTTTTAGAATGTGGGAGGGTGGATAAAGTCCAAAAACCCAGTCATTCTTAGTGATGGTTGCTCATTTTTCTCGTTATGTAACTGGGACCAACATGTCTAAAACTGTCAGAAGGCATCAGAGTCTCCCCCTCCCCCCACTTCTCCATTAAGGAAATGACAGTATTGCTAGGATACGCTGTCTTTCCAAATTTTACTCATGTTCAGGGGTTTAGCTAGGCAACTGCAAAATCATTATATTCTTTTTAACATAATACTGATACTTACCACCGTATTTGTCTAGATAATGTGGGGCCCTCAGTGTCTCACAACCCTATGGGCCTTCACAGCCTGGTACAGGGATATTTATTTACTGATACTGAACAAATATTACTGATCACTAGTCACTGAAGGGGAAGAACCTATTTTGAAAATGTTATGGTACTTATCCTGTCTAGAAAACCAAAATTAATGGCCGTGGGGATTCGTTGCACTGACCATGTGACACCCTCTATCCGTTAAAGTTGGCACTAACTTTGCCGACAAGCGGCTGTCACTCGGTCGGTAGAGTTCGCTTGCGGACTAAAATCACGGAGTTTTTATGGTACTTATACAAGGACTATTTGGAAAGTAACTTCTGGTGAGCTGTTAACAGAACAAGCAATGAGAAAAAGGAAGTATACCCAAAACTACATTCATACTAAAGCTACTTCTCAACCTATGCATCGCCACAATTGAAGCACTTGTCATAGAGTGTATAAGTTTTGTATGCCATCAGCTCATTATTGAACATTGTAATCTTAACCAGTTCTTCAGGTGGGTAAGAGTAAACAGGTGGTAGTTGCACTGAACAAGATATGGGCTGTAAGGAGGGTGGTCAGACAACTCCCATTTGAAATGCTCCTGCTGTGCTCGAGTGCAAGCAGCTGTATGTGGACGCGCATTGTCATGCAGAAGCACTACACCATATGTCAGCATTCCACACCCTTTGTTCTGAGTAACCCTATGCAGTTTTTTTAGTGTTTTGCAATACAAAACATGGCTAAGCTCACAGTTGGCAGGTTTCTTGATACAGGCATGCAAAAACTTATTCCACAATATCACAAGTGCCTCAATTATCGCCGTGACTACTTTGAATAGTAGCTTAAGTATGTATGTATTTTGGTGTAAATAATACATTTTTTCGTTGCTTGTTTTGTTAACAGGTCACAAGAGGTTACTTTCCAAGTAACCCTTGTAAAATATGAATCCAATAACTACATTTTACAATTACCCATCGTATATCTCTTTGTGAGAATTAGAAGACATAGGCAAGTTGCATGATTTTGTTATTATTTTCACATATTAATTATTACACTAAGGGTTCAGATTGATAATTGAATTTATTGGACACCATGTTGCTCTTGGCTACAAATGATTACAGCACTTCTGTTATTCTTTCATCTTCAGAGAAGTATGCCACTTCCCATGTCCTTCTCATATGCTGTATGTTCATGTATTCATTCCCTGGTAGTCACCTCCAGTAACAGGAATTCTCTATAATACTTCCACCCTTGACAACTTTGGCTAAGGTCCCATAACTCTCTTTATATAATTTTGAGGTTTACAAATTTGAAAACACTGCCTTCAGTTGTTCCTGTACTATTGTGTGTGTACACATAGCTGCAGAAACATGTTTAGCAAGTCATTGTGTAGTAATGGGTGTCTCTGCTACACTTCTCTCATCTCAGTAGTATTATGAGGAGAAGTATCTAGTATTATGAGGAAAGATATGATGTCAGATGTTAGAATCAGTGGCTTGATTAACTAGACACAGACAATATGTATCATTGGATTATTTATTGGTGCTGTGCGTGTTTAAAAATGTTTTTTTTTTTTTTGCATCCAGTTGCATCTTGAACGTCGCATAATATGGTCTTGCATAATATATTGTCACGTGTTGGGTGTATAACGTGACAAATAACTTCACGCCTTATTGGATGTAGCGAATTTTATTTCACACTCGCTCTTACAATCACAGCATTTACAATCTGACAATTACTGCCATTGGCAGTATCACAAATACTACACTGCAAATGCTGGTTGACTGCCTGGCTGACTCATAAGTCATAACTCGAGAACTTGAGAACTAACTCGTGAACTCGTAACTCGAGAACTTGAGAACTGGCTGTGAATAGTCTTCGCTGCTCCTTATTTAGCCTCGTTCTGGACAACACAGAAAAAGGCCGCGTAATAGACACCACTGTTGTCTGGCGCCATGTTGCTAGCAACGCTGTCGGGAGTTGTTTCTTGCTGTGTAGCAACGGCAGCATCCCATGTTACGTCACCGCGGGGAGAGGCGGGGTGTTGACTGGCTTATTACCGTAGCAACGGCAACGCTCTGAAGGTGTTACGTCACCGCTGGCGGGGTGAGGGGTTGTCCTCCATTGTGCAACACGTCACAATATAATTAAATTTCAGTAGGATATGTACTTTTATTCTTGTCACTGTGTATGCTTAACTATGGGTTGGTTGAGTAGAATTGGTTCATAAATAAGTTAAGAGTTTGACTGCTCTGAGCTAGACAGTTCAGTCACACGTAGCCATTTTCCCAAGTAAACATGTTAAGTAATTAGACGTATTTTGAATCCAGATAGTATCAGGAAGTACAGTTCCATTGCAACTTGAAAGTGGTAAAATATATCATTGTTAGTTTAACACTTTCACTATTAGTGCATGTATACCATTTTGCTAACTGTAAATTTGCTGTTGAGAATCTTTTTACTCTGAAACCCTGTCAGCTTACTAACTCAAATATTATACTTAATTGGCACAGGTGCCACACCAGACAACTCAGATGCCTGTGCGGTACCAGCATCAGGTTGGTAATCAGATCATCCCACTGACCCCTGCCAACCTACAACAGAAACCTGCACCATCCAGTAGCGTTGCCACAACCACTACAACAGCAAGCACTGTGACCACAAGGGCATCCATTTCTGTACAGTGTGGCACCCACCTCTCACCATCAGATGCACTTATCCAGCAACCTGTTGGGTTGGCAGCCCAGTCACTACCCAAGTTGTCAGTTGTTCAGCCCATGTTGCAGGCTACTGGGACAACCTCAGTATCATCATCACAACAAAGCAAGAGCACAGGGCAGCCCAGTAGCTGTGAAAAGGGGACCTCACCATTGCAAGTTCAGGTGGGAATTTGTTCCAGATGTTACATACTGCATATATTAATATCATTAAAACTATTAGAGAGGATATAAAAATGTCTGCCAAAGAGAGTCCAGATTCTTAGGAACCGAAGAAGCATAAACCATTGTTCAATAAAGGATGCTCAGAATTATTAGACCAGAGGAAACAAGCCAGACTGTAGTGGATACAGGATCCAAGTGAAATAAATTGGGATAATCTGAACAGTGTAAGATGTGAAACGAGCAGGCATTTCAGGAACAAAAAGAGGGAATATCTGAAAAACAAAATTGATAATCTTGCAAAAGAAAAAGAAGAATTAGAGACCTGTATGTGGATTAAATCACTTTAAGAGGAGTCACCAACCTAGAAGTAACTTAATGAAGGATGTGCAGATTCCCACAACATTTTGAATACATGGAAGAACTACTTATCTTGGTTCTTTAATGTACATAGGGTCAATGATGTTGGGCAGATAGAAATACATACAGCTGACCCGTTAGTACCTGATCGTAGCCTTTTTGAGGTTAACTTGCTGTTGCGGAGTTGAAAAGGTATAAATTGCCAGGTAGTGATCAAATTATGGCAGAACTGATTCAAGCACGAGGTGCAGTTTTGAATTCTAAGATCCATACGCTAATTAATTCTATTTGGCATAAGGAAAAATTTCCTGGTCAATGGAAGGAGTCTATTATTGTACCAATTCACAAGAAGGGTGATAAAACTGACTGTAGTAATTATCGAGGGATATCACTGCTATCAACTTCATACAAAATTTTATCCAATATTTTTTTTAGGGTTAAATCCATATATAGATTAAATTATTGGGGATGATCAGTGTGGGTTTCAACGTAACAAATCTACTACTGATCAGATCTTTGCATTCATCAGATACTGGAAAAAGAATGGAAGTACAATGAGACAGTACATCAGCTATTCGTAGACTTCAAGAGAGCCTATGATTCAGTTAGGAGGAAAGTATTGTACAGTATTCTGATAAAGTTTGGGTACCCATGACTAGTTATTCTGATTAAAATGTTTTTAAATGAAACATATAGTAAAGTAAATATAGGTAAATATTTGTCTGATAATTTTCCTATCCAGAAGGGTCTATAGCAAGGAGATGCTTTATCACCACTGTTTTTCAACTTTGCTTTAGAATATGCCATTAGGAAAGTCCAGGAAAACCAGGTGGGACTGAAATTAGGCGGGACACATCAGCTTCGCAAGAGGGGCTCAGTTCCATGAGTGATCATGTCAAATATTCAGATTCTAACTTACTTTCCTTTCACAGGGGAAAATAAGTAGGCTTGGCGGAGCACGCTGCTGCTTAAATATTGATGCCCTCTTTCCAACAATAGAACCAGCTGGCCAGTTTTCCCAAAATTTAGAGTGAACATATGAGGCCACCCCAGTCCTGTGCATTTCTTACGTGGCAGGTGTGTGAACTGTGAGGTGAAATGGCACTGGGAATTTTTAATGTAGGGGCTTGAAATTGTGTGTATTATCAGATCTTTGGACAAAGAGCAACACCTGAGACATTCCTTGCCAAATCATCACAGCCCACAAACTGACCTCAGATTTTAGAGAGAGTTGGTGGGCTTACAGACCACATAGAAAATAGTATTATTGTAAAATTTCAGTACATTGTGTCTTGCAGTTTTTGTTGTGCAAAGGTGTGAAAATCACACAAAAAAAATCCATTTTCTGTCACGCTTCCTCTGTAATATGTATTCAACCTCGTCTTATTTTACAATGCACCACAAGAGATTCTACTTGTTAATTCTAAAGTGTCTGTTTCCAGTATTGGACAGTCTGGACTTCCTAATGCCGTGTGAATACAGAATATGAGGGTCACCCTCTTTTAGGGTGAAATGTGCTTATGGGCATTTCCTGCTGATGTTCTCCCCTCAAGATTTAAAATCCGCTTATTTGGAATTCTTATGACCATCCTGCACTACTTACAGCTGAATGGTCATAATCCTCTTTAAGATGATGAATCATGTGCCAGTCTTGAATCCTCCACACCCTCGGTAAACGTATCTCATTGCCCAGCTACCAAGTATGGGGTCATATCCCTTTAAAAGTTCAGGCTGTGTTAGCCACAGTGGACATCAAACTAGACTTCTGACTTGTACGTTTCTGTTTGACTCCTTGCCACTGGATTTACATATCTTGCACTCACTTTACACACTTTTTCCATATATATAGATCATCAGTGAATTATTGAATGTTACGCTTAGCACGTCCTTAGGAGCTAATACCTTGCTACATGTCAGTTCCTACTGCACTGGTGCATATTGCATTCAAATCCTTCTACTTATTCACCACTCAGTTACATGATATTAGTTGTATTGTAACCGTATATAATTATATTATTCAATACATTTTTCTAATTAACCTCTGAATGACTTCAGAAGACTTGAACTTCATTTCTCAAGTTTTCCAGTGATCTCAAACCACAGACTATCAGCTCAGTGTACACAAGTATCCAATTGCCATCCTGCAGGATATGAAACCTCCACAAAAAAAAAATTGTCATAACTTCTGTCATGTACAAGCTACAGAACTCATATGGGGCTTGTTTGGAAGCATCTTCCTACAAAAAAAAATATATTTAGTTCATAATGTTGTAATCTAACATACAACAATAGGTCAGCTGTAGAATCTTATGTGATAAAATCATGACATTGTGGACTCTGGGAACTTCTCATTGATCCTCCTGCAGAGCATGTTGCAGTCTGTTTTCAGTTTTCAATTTGTTATTGTAGCAGTGTCTGGTGCTAGTTTTCTTATGAAGGAGAATCTTCTTGCACATTAATTGTGTGCATCACTCTTTGTTGTGTTTTATGAGAATGGAATTGTCTAAGAAATACATAACTGCACAGTGTTACAGCCCATTTAAAGAAGGACATACTACTTCTAGGAGGAATGTAAAACAATGTTCGTCGTAGATGATATGAAAGAGCCATCTATAGAAAGTGGGTAAAAGGTGTGTGACAAATGTAAGAAGAAACTTTCCATGTTGCTGTTTGATGTGATGAGCTTTCATTTGAGTGAGAGGATGACTTCTCAGGTGAAGCTTATAGTGATAATGAAATAGACGCATGTAACAGAGTAACAGCTGTGCAGTCATTAACCCGTTGCCGTGGTTCGTCGTGTATGTTTCGTCAGGGATTTAAATCGTCTGGGGGGGGTTCGGCGTGTATGTTTCGTCCAGCTGCACACCTATGTTATAACGCCCATAATAATTGATGGTTTTGCTGTAGATTGTTAGATTTTTCGCTGGCCTGTTGTCACAAGAACAGAGTATACTAAGCCAACGAGTTTAGCTGAGATAAGTCATCGTTACATATGCCTGTCTTGCAGCAAATTCGTGTTGCTTCTTGTAGCGGTTTCGTCACTCAATGGCGTATTTGCTTTGCTTGTGAAGTAATAAACACCAGAGAGGTGATGTGTGCTGTTGTATATAATATCATATTGCCCTGAGCTGGCCACACAAACACATTCCATTGGAATTCTTAGAAGAGGGTTGTCCAAAATGTTATTCTCGTAAAATCGATTGCTTTCGCACAGTACATAGCACCCATTTCTTAGAAATACGCCACAATTTAAGGCAGAACACTGTGGTCACCCCCTGAGACGATACGGATGTGTGTGGGGGAGGGAAAAGTACTCATTATCGCTCCAGTTGACGCCATTTTATCGTACTGACCTTGGTGGTCGTTTCGAGAGCCAGCTCTGTGTTTAGACTAATGCTTCAAGGCGTCACCTGCTTACATAGCCGAGATACCGGGTGCTCATATTATAAGGCAAGGTTATAAAACCAACTTTTAAGATCATTTTAGTGAAAGTTTCATCCTTCAAGGCGTACCATTCTCTGCTCAAATACTAAATAACATGCTTCCATTAAAGATATAAAGGGGGTTCATATTATAAGGTAAGGTTATAAAACCACCTTTTAAGATCATTTTAGTGAAAGTTTCATGTTCCTATCTCATAGAATTTAAGAACAATGATGAATAAATAATTTTCGAGCAAAATTTAAATGGCCGGCTGAATATATTACCGCAGGAGCCGCGGCCGCGGAATTTAAATGACCACGTCAAAAGGTTAAGTGAAAGCCTTCAGTGTGTATGTGAATTGCCAGCCAGACTGACAAGAATAGGTGAAGCAAAGGATGCTGCAAGGAATGTAGCTAAAACTGATATTCTTATAAATTCTTATATGCTGCACCCAATTCTGAAAGGGAACTTTTGGGAGGGATTGTGTGCCTTGTACAGAAAGATCGAAAAGACGCGCACAGCACTCTAAGCAATTATATTTTGCTGGTTTAATGCACAAACTACAAGACATACAGCAATTACTATTAATGTATATAACCTTACATCTTAGAAATGCAAAATCAAATCGTGTCTCTGCAACATATGCTCAAAATGGCTCCTCTGTTCAGCAATGCAAGCGCGAGCTCCTTTTACCATGTTTGAGGCCACTTTGTGGAACACGTGTAAACTGATGCTGGTAATCGTCATTATAATGTTCCTCTTGAGGTCATCAAGCGTATGTGGATTGTTTTTATAGACAATTCCTTTGAGGTACCCCCAAAGGAGAAAATCTGTGGGTGACAAATCGGGCAAACACGGGGGCCTGTGACATGTGGCACCGTCTTGCTGCAACCAACACTCACGTTCATCAACTTCAATAAGCTCAATAAACTGTGTAATGATATCATGATACATTGGACTGTTCACTGTTGTTTCAAAGAAAGTTGGGCCCACTATTCGACGACATGATACAGCACACAACGCTCCAATTTTCTGACAGTGCAAGGGTTTTTCATGTAACACAAGTGGATTTTCAGATGACCAAATCCTATTGTTTTGACTGTTCATGTAGCCACTAAGGTGGCTTCGTCAGTGAAGAAAACCCGATCAGACTCTTCAATGCCATGATTGCCAACGAATGTCCGAAACCATCTACACATTAAGCGTTTTTCTTTATCCAG